GTAATATAGTGTAAGCATTCCTAAATTATATATTGTAGCTATGTGATGATACTTAAGTTTTGTTTAAAAATGCATTCCTTTACTTGTCAGCTACTGTTTGTTTTTTCAATTTTTCTAACATTATAGTGCTCTTAATATGAAGTCTTTAAAGACATGTTTATATTTGTTTCAAAAAGATATCTTTGTTTTTTGTTAAATGTATAATCTTGCAGTCCATACTAAATGTGTTTTTCATTTTAGTCAAAGTAAATAAGAAGGGACATTTTCACATACTGCCCGCATCTCTCAGTTAGCAATGGTTTTTAAAGTCTAGAACCTGAAGCTACAGTTCGAGGAAAATTCTTTTTTTTTAAACTCTTCTTCTACTGAAATGAATATAAAAATGACCTGTAGGTTTAAAGGAGAAAAGCAAGATCAATTTTTATTTTGTTATTTTATCAGCTTCGTATTCTTGTGTGATCATGTCATCAATTTGATAATTCAAGAATATTTCCTGAACTGACATTTTTATTTCATCACACCACATCTCTTTGGAGTAAAGTTTATAGGCAGCTCATGAAACTGGTACAAGATAGCATTGAGAGTGTTTTTCATCCTTACAGCAGCCTGGCAGCCCTGATTGCCTCATGGATGTCTAGAATGGGCCTCACTTGGCCCTTATTAGCCACACCACAATACCTCTCTAGTTGGTGCTGATTTCATGCCAAGACGAGGTGTGGTATTCCACACCAGTCCACTCCATGTTTCAAATTTTGCCTGTTCCATACAGAAAATGTGGAAATGTGAATAGAAATCCTGTCACCTGGAAATACCTATACATACATATGGCATAGAACTTTATTGGTGTATATAAAAAATCTAGTGTACAAACTTGATTAAACTTATTTTAAGCAGATATTTGAACGTTTCCCTATTAAATAGTATTTTAACAGTATTTTCAAGAATGTGTATACTTTTCTATAATTTTGTGATATATTTAGTCAGTTTCATCTTTCAGGATATTTTAATTATTTCCATTTTACTATTTCAACCATCCTCTAGTAAATATTGTAGCTTAAATTTTATTTGTATATATTTGCAATTGAGAATATTTCTTGCTATATTTCTATGTGTGTGGATGTGTCATGGCTATAAAATTATGGAAAGTTAGAAGTTGAAGAGATCAAAGTTTCTTATTTCATAGTGGAGAAATTGAAGTAATGGAGATGTATAATGTCTGCCACCTGTTAGTGGTAGAGCAAGCTACAGTTAAGAGATTGGGCAAAATGCCTTAGTGCAGGGCCTGACACATACTAATAGCTAATACTTACTGAACACTTACTGAATGCCAGGCCCTGTGTGAGCACTTTATACTTGTATTATTCACTCTTTATCACAACTGTGTAGGTTAGTACTATTGTTAACTCTGTTGCATTGTTGAGGACACTGAAGTTCTGAAATGTTATTTGCCCAGAGTTATATAGCTCATAGCAGAGCCAGGATACAAACCCAGGTGGTCTGACTGCAGAGTCGGTGCGATCACCACTGCCCGGCAGCCACGATAAGTGCTGGCTCAGTGTCTGAGTGTTCATAAATGCTGGGTTGTTCTATGCACGCCTCCATAATCCAGAGGGGGTTTTGGTTCCAATACTCTGGATTTTAGAAAGATAATTTAGTTCCTATGCTCTGGGTTTGTTGTTGTTGTTTTAATATTTTATTTATTGTTTTCAGAGAGGAAGGGAGAAGGAGAGAGAGAAACATCAATGATGAGAGAGAATCATTGATTGGCTGCCTCCTGCACGCCCCCCACTGGGGATCAAGCCTGCAACCCAGGCATGTGCCCCTGGCTGGAATTGAACTCGGGGCCCTTCAGTCTGCAGGCTGTCGCTCTATCCACTGAGCCAAGCCGGCCAGGGCGGTAGATGCTCTGTTTTATGTAATACTCCTGTGAGGCTTGGGCAGCACCTCGTAAGGACATGCATCCGTGTTTCTGACGCATGTTTATCTATTCAGTGAGATAAAAGTCAGAAAACAAGTACTATAGTAGCCCAGTGGCAGTGCGTGCTGCCAAATGGATTGTGGAAACCTTTTGACTTTTAGTATAGCAGGTAAGGGATGGCGGACCCACGTAAAGCTCTTAGAGGATACCTGGCACTTAAAACACATTCGTGTGTCGGTGAAGACAGCTCCTCCTAGCAGTAGTTACCATCTGATACGTACATACTCATAGGCATCGGGAATTGGTGAGTCATGTAGTGCTGGGCGTACTTTCCTCACAACCTGATGTCAGGATTCCCTAAGTCACAACAAGTGATAGGCACCTGGGTCTCTTCCCTGGCGAAGCATAGGCTGGTCTAGCCCAGGGCTCCGTCCTTCTGACCATTTGCGCCCCCTGCTGAGCCACATTGCCTCTCCAGAATAGCCAAACCTGTGTTTCAGCCTCTCAGAGACCTTGGTGAAACCGTGTTTCTCAAGTTTTCCTTGCTCTGTATTCCGACCCCCTTTATTTTTTTCCATTGTTATTGAGAAATAATTGACATGTAACATTGTGCAATATTAAGGTGTACAAAATGATGATTTGATACTCGTATATACTGTGAAATGGTATCGGTAACAAAGTTAACACTTCCATCCCCTACATAATTACCGTGTGTGTGTGTGTGTGTGTGTGTGTGTGTGTGTGTGTGTGTAACAAAGTTAACACTTCCATCCCTACATAATTACCTTGTGTGTGTGTGTGTGTGTGGTGAGAGCATTTAAGATTTTCTCCCTTAGAACTTTTAAGTATATAATAACAACTAGAGGCCCAGTGCCTGGATTTGTGCACCGGGAGGGTCTCTCGGCCTGACCTGTGCCCTCTCACAATCTGGGACTCCTCAGGGGATGTTGGAGGCCCGGTGCATGGATTCGGCCTGATCCCCACAGGCCAGGCCAAGGGACCCCACCAGTGCACAAGTCCATGCCCTGGGCCGGTTTCGGCCCGATCCCCGCCAACATTCGTTTCCTCATTGCCCCAACACCCAGCCCCCGGGAGCCACTATTCTGTCTCTTTCTAAGAGTTCAACTTTTTTAGATTCCACATGTAAGTGAGATCTTACAGTATTTGTATTTCTGTGTCTGGCTTATTTCAGTTAGCACGGTATTCTTTAGGTTCATCCACGTTGTCACAAAAGCACGATTTCCTGCCCCTTTTATGGCTGAATAGTCTTTCTTGTATATATGTGTGCTACATTTTCTTTACCCATTCATCCACTGATGGACATTTAGGTTGCTTCTATGTCTTGTACAGCCCCATTTAAAAAAGCATGAACCCACTAGGACTGTGGTCAGCAAACTGGCTCGCGAGCCACACGCGGCTTTTTGGCCCCTTGAGTGTGGCTCTTCCACAAAATACCGACTTCTGCGCATGGGCCACAAAGTTTCAATCTCACAGTATGTGCGTGCCCGCATGTGGTATTTTGTGGGAAAGCCACAGTCAAGGGGCCAAAGAGCCGCATGTGGCTCGCGAGCTACCGTTTGCTGACCACTGCACTAGGAGACTAATTTAACTAAAACCCTTATTTCTGTACCTATGACCAGATATGACTAAATACTGAAGTTATTTTATTTGAAATTGCGATATTTCCTCTTTCTTCCCATCATTTTAATTGATGAAAAGCTATAATCACAGTATTATAACCATTTATGACAATTACCAGGAAGTGTTCTAGTGTATATCATATATTATACACTGATTTTATTATATGGTCATGTTACTTTTATTGCCATCTGATACAGATATAAATGTATTAAATGCCACTGATGTGTACATTTGCTAATAAGTTTGGCACCTGAGTTTAAACCTATTCTCTATCCTTGGAAATATCCCTCTGAAGACACACGGTGTAACATTTGTTCTCTCCTCCTGCATGTTAGGTCCCATGTGTCTTCCCTCAGCCCCCAGTCACTGGAAACAGCCTTTGCCCCTTCTTGGTCATTCTCAGCCCTTACCTCCCCTGGAAGGGCTCTGGAATCTAGTCGGATGAAGCAGAGGAGGAGCAACAGAAACGTGACCAGTTTGTTGAGGGTGAAAATGTGGGCTTACTTATTTGTATTTGACAGTTTTTGTCGTTTTGTGTGTGTTTTTTGTAAGAGAACATTTATTGGGTAGATTACAGAGGTAGAAAAAGTAATTCCTAGAAGAAACAGGCTTAGAAAGCAAGGTACAGAGGTAAAGGAAGGGCCCTTGTTGCTTGGGAGTGAGGAAGCTAATGCTAACATGCGTGGGCAGGGAGGGGGAGCAGGAGGGAAAGGGGAAGGCATGGGCATGCTCCCGGGAGGTAGAGCGCCAATTTGACAGTTGTTTTTTTTTTTTTATCATAACTAAAATACAGAATAGTGAAATAGCTGTTCCATTCTTTGTTGGAAAGGAATGTGCAGGGTCTACAGTTTGTAGAGCTGTTAGGCTTAATTGGTCTTTGGGGTATGTGTTGGTGTGAGTGTGTGTGTGTGTGTGTGTGTGTGTGTGTGTGTGTGTGTGAGGGAGTGAGGGAGTGAGTTGAGGGTTGTGGAATAGAGTATAAAAATATGTGGTGTGAAAATTAATGTCATTTGCAGTTTATTTTATGTTGCTTGATCCCCACAAAATAGATTTGTTTTGACAGTAGGCATTTGAGAATTGTGTTGGAATTTGGCATATAATATTTAATAAGCTCTAGTATTTCATCTTCTACATTTTGGTCATTTTCTTAGTGATAGTACAGTTGAGTTTAAATTCCAAGACAGAAAACTCGAAAAGGAGGATATAATGTAAAATCACCAACTGATACAGTGTTCACAATACAGTTACTTGTTTGTCACTTTTCATTAATGTAACTTTTCAACTGACAATGTTATTTGATTTAGGATCTTAGAATTTGAACTGCATGGGAATCATTGATAATTTTGGTATTTTTTTTTTTTTTACAGAGAGGAAAAAGGAAAATGGATGACTAAAAAAGTATTATTTGTTGTATTTTAAAAGTTGTATTTCCTTTTTCTAGGTTGCTGTAGTGAAACTAAAAAATGCAGATAAGGTATTTGCCATGAAAATACTGAATAAATGGGAAATGCTGAAAAGAGCAGAGGTAAGGTTCTAATTATTGGAATATTTAAATAAAATCTTAGAAATATTTAAGAGGAGATATAAAATTATAGAGAGTCAGTAGATCCTTAAATATCACTAAGTAACATTTTATCTATGATGACATATTTTAAGGCCATAAGAGACAAATTCAATAATTCACAATTGTGAGATAGGTATGATAAAAGTTATAATTTGTGCTAATTTAATATTGTCTAAAAACCAAGTGGGAACCCTTGATGCAGTGCTTGCACATTTATGTTCAAAGATGTGCAAAAGAATTTCTGTGTAGGAAGAAATAATGTGGATAGTTCCTTTTATAGGAAATTCAGTAATGATTGGCTGGAAGTTTGTCGTATCTTGTTTCTTCCATTCTGCATTTATTTGTATTCTGCCCCAAGCAATAGTCAGCAGAAGCTTGAACATGCCCTCTAAGAATTCTGTTTATTGCTGGTCATGCAGTTGAATTCATTTTCTTTTATATTATTAAAAAATGGTCGTAAAATCTGCTCTTACAAGAATTGTCCGTGTTCTTATGTTGGTGCAAGATTTCAGGGGAAGATGGATGAGAGTGATGTTCAACTGTCCAATAGTTGGTGTGGATGGTCAGAACTGGCATCACATATGGATTTGGGGTCGGTTCTGGGTGGGGCAGGGCACTCAGGTCTCAGGGAAGCAGTTACTGGTATGGGAGCATCTCGGTATTTCACTTGTAGAAGGGTCCTACACCGAGCATGCAGAGTTGTAGCCCTACTGGTTAGTAGACTTTATAAGAGGATAATGAGAAATTAGCCCTCAGAAGTCTTTCTTTATCTACCAGTACGTGGAGCAATCTGAAAAAGAACAGACAGGAAAAAGCAAAAAAGCATTCCGTTGATGTTAGAGTTGGTGGTAGTGAAAGTAAATACTTCATGATTTCTTTTGGAAAATTTGAAAACTATGACAAACACAAACAAGAAACTAATCACTAGCATCTCATCACCTAGAATTAATCAGTACAGTTTTTGGCAAGTTTCTGCTTTCAGTTTTTTGTCCTGTGCATCTACTTCAAAAAACTGCACAAGTGAAATACAAATACATTCTTTCTGAACAAATAGTAGCAAATAACAGATAAAGGTAACGTCCTCTGTGAGTTCACCCTACCCAGGTCTAGCCCCTCTCTACCTCCCACAGGTAATTACTATGCAATCATATCTTGTTTAAAACGTATCAGGGGACGATCATGGCACTCTGGCATATGTGCCAGTGCCCAATATATTTAATAACTTCAGTCTTTTCTTTTGGGCTTCCCTAAGACTGCATTGCTGTATTGTCATTACTTGATTTTCCGTTAGTAACACTGAGATTGAGTTTAATGTGTCGTATATTTATTGGGGACTTCTTTTGAAACCAACACCTGTAGAAGGGAAATTAGGTGAAACATGATTGACCAGGGAGCAGGCAGGCTGTCCCATCATACTAGTAGCTTTGTTGTTACAACAGGAGGCTTTGATACAGCAGAACTGGGAGCAGAAATGGCCCTTCGGAGTTGCCCTGCATTGGGCCAGATGACCATCCTTTATGCACCTGCCTCCATCAGCCCTTGGGTACAGGCTGCCTCCCGCAGGACGTGGCCTCGTAGGCTTTCTGCAGGTGAGGCGCACCCTGCAGGAGCTGGCAGCATAGCCAGCAAGTGAGCAACAGTCTCATTATTAAGAAGTAGTAAATAATTATGTTGTAATCATTTCACAGAAATCATTGTAGTCAATTTAGTGTTTCAGAGTTAGAACTTCTAAAAAATTGAGTTATAGTTTGTACTTTATTTTTTAATCCTTGTCCGAGGATATGCTTAATATGCTTAATGATTTTTTAGAGAGAAAAGAGAAGGAGGGATGGAGGGTGGAAGATGGGGGGAGAGGGAGAGAGAGAGAGAAAGAAAAAGAGAGAGAAACGTCCATTGGCTGCCTTCTACCCGCCCCGACCGGGGATCGAACCTGAAACCTTTCCATGTACAGGACCGCACTCCAACCAGCTGAGCCCCGCCGGCCAGGGCTGCGCTTATGCTGATGAAGTTGGATGTGCTGGGGAAGAATGGTGAAAAGGCAGGATAACTGTCAGCTTTCATTGCTGATGGGAAGAAGTGGCAAAGTTGTAGATAAAACAAGGGGTAGTTGAAAGTTAAATATTATTTTCTTGAATTAGAACGCACTAATATATCCTGTGTTTGAGGCAAGAGGGAATAGAAATTCTTCTCCTTGTCCTTTCCATTAAGTAGCCGAAGACTCTGCACGTTAATTATAAAACAAACATGACCAGGCTCTGAAAGGCAGAGAGAAGGTGGACCAACTAGGGACCTGGGGTTCCTGTGGAACAGCACTTCCTCTATGACGTGGTTCTCAACCTTCCCAATGCCACGACCCTTTAATACAGTTCCTCATGTTGTGTGACCCCCAATTTCATTGTTACAAATTGAACATAATGAAAGCATAGTGATTAATCCCAAAAACAATATGTAATTATATATGTGTTTTCCAATGGTCTTAGGCGACCCTGTGAAAGGGCCGTTGGACCCCCAAAGGGGTCGCGACCCACAGGTCGACAACCACTGCTCTATGACGTCGGGTGCATTGTGCAGTGTCAGAGCATATGCATGTGAAATGAAAGTCAGGGGGACTGTGAATGATGCTAATCAGAGATGTGCCGGTGACTGTCCTGGGGTGCTCCAGTTGGTGTATCCCGGGGTGGAAGTGATTTAAAAATAATTTTACGCTATAGTATTTTCACGTTGTGCTGACCCTAGAATTTATCCACTCCCTGGGTTAACTCCTCAGTAATGAAACCTCTTGGGTTTGGGGGACAGGTACACATTAATCTTTAGTAGCTATTGCTAAATTGTCTTTGAAAATGTGTTTGTTGTTTGCCTCATTTGCCAGTTTTAGATGTTATCAAATGATTTCTCTTCCTTAAAACATTTTTTCTGACAAATAAGTTAAAAAGTGACAGCTCATGTTTGGTTCAGCCATCAAATATACATTGGAGATTTAAAAGTAAATTGATGTCTTGCTGTATAAGACCTGACATTGGATGCCTGGCTGGTGTGGCTCAGTGGATGTGCACCGACCCAAGAACCAGGAGGTCATCAATTCGATTTGTAGTCAGGGCACAGGCCCGGGTTGCGGCTTGATCCCCATTGGGGGTGTGTGTAGGAGGCAGCCTATCAGTGTTTCTCTCTCTTGATGTTTCTACTCTATACCTCTCCCTTCCTCACTCTCTAAAAACTCAATAAAAACATTTAAAAAAGGACCTGATATTGGAATTCTTGCATTTTTTCAATTTAAAATTCCACTTGTTTATTTTTTTTTTAATGAAAAGTTTTGGCTTTCCTCCCCTCATATATTGGAATAACTTAGTTATTATTTGAAAGAATTTCTCTGTTAATATTTTATAGGAGATAGAAATGTAAATGAGAAGCCAAAAGTACATATAGTCATGAGTGGATTTTCTTGTTTTAACACATGATTTCCAAGTATTCAGGTAATTGGATGTACTGTGTAGGAATGTATAAGAATGTTGCTTTATGAATGTGTACCTATGGATCTAGGGAAGAGAACCATGTGACAGTTTTGCAGAATTATTATTCTTTTTATCTGGGCCATATGAACTTCTGTTTTATCATAGGTATTCCTATTGCTCTTTCTCTTTAACCAATAGCCCATTAAGGATAAAGTTTAAACAATAAAAATATCAAACCGCAAACCCGCCAAACCCATCACTGTCCCCAGCAGAATGTTTGGTTGAATATAAACTGAGTGACAGGATCTGAAGAAGTCATGTGATCTCCAGTAACCCCTCCTACTGGTCATTGCATTCTTAGAGACTTAAATGTTCTGTTTTTAAAGGGGAATATATTTTTTTTAATTCAAGTTTTTTTTTTAAGGGCAATTGAAGTAGAGATTTTTACAGCCTTTAACCATGTTGAATCCTTGGGACAACTTTATGAACCTCATGGTATGCATCATGGTTTGGTTGATATTGATCAAGGACAGGGTTTCTCAGCAAGGGCACTTGTGATATTTGGTGCCAAATAATTCCTTGTGGGACTGTCCTATGCCTTGTAGGATGTGTGGCAGCATCCTGGCCCCTTCCCACTGGATGCCACTGGAAGGGCATTAACGCCCTTCGCCCCAGTTGTGACAACTGAGGACAGTGTGACTTATCGAACCAAAAAAAGAGACTGCACTTCACATCAAAACTCAGTGTCTGAGGCACTAATAGGAGTAGTTTCATCCTGAATGTTTATGGATAAAGCCAGCTGATGTCTGGGATTTGCTTGAAAATTTGTACACATGGGTGTGCACATATGTGCATGGAGGGAGGGTGGCAGTAAGATGAAACAAGATTGAGCAATAACATAATTGTTGAAGTTGATTGATGGGTACATTGGTGGGAGGTGGCTATTTTATTGTTCTTGTATATATTTAAAGTTTTATATCAAAGCTTTCTATTAAACTATATAAATAGTTTCTTTATATTTTATTTAAAATTTTTTTTCATGAAACAGAATAGAATAGAATCTACTGAAGTTTAATTTGTTTTGTTGACAAGAAGTCTTTGGAGCTTTATTTAGTTTGGAGTCATCTATCAGATGTTTATTAGATTCTAGCTGGAATGTCTCGAAAATTCCAGATAGCAGTCATAATAAAGGAAAGCCGGGAGACGGGTGTCTCCTAGGCCCTCATAGCCTTTCCCACCTCTGAAGGGTTAGCAGCAAACACAGCTTCCCAGCAGTTAAATTCTAAACCAGAACGTAGTGGTGAGCATGCCAAAGCGATTCCACTTTCTCCCTAAAATGAACCAAAGCATAATGTAGATTTTAATAATCCAATTAAAGGGTTTAATCTTTAATTGCTTTTAATATTTTCTCTGGTGATACTATTTTATACATGTCTTTGGAAATTATATTTTATCAAATAAAATTTATGTAAATATTTATTAAAAATCAGGATACCTAATTAGGGTAAAATA